TACCTTATTCACCTGTTTGCTTGTTTCAACTTTCCCACTCCAATTGTTGTGGTTCTCTCTTCTTGCTGTTTCATTGTCCTTTTGTTTGTCCTTCCATTGCCTAGCATTGGCTCAAACTCGTTTCCCTCTGGTTTTCTTTGTGTATCGTGCCCATGGATCATGCTCAAGGTCGTGCATTTCACCATCACCTTGCTCGGGCAATTATGCACTTGGAACTACTTGGCTGGCCTTTTACCATTCTTTGAACCATCCATTGAATGGGATGATCCAACAATGGACCATCAGTTCCGTCATGGACGCCCAAACCATATGCCCAGAAATCTTCATACCTTCGTTCCTTTACCAGCCTCGTCAAGTACACCTTCAATGGTGTCACATGCAGGCATCCCATCACGCATGGTTGTGAACCCGGAACCAAATTTACGTCCTCTTACGGTCTTCCGCCCTCATCCTGAAGAAGAAGAACATCATGCAACTGAGGACACCTCATCCCGAAATCCTGCACCAAAGGCAGGACATACTTCACCTGCACCTCCGGGAACCACTCCAATCCCAGACACTGTACGTGTTACGACCCGAATCACGACACCAGTTCCAGTCCGATGAAAACAACGGACCAATTCCACCGAAGACCCACAGCCCAAGAAGAAACAAAGATCAGCTCCGGTTTCTGAAACCACTACCCCTCCAACGTCCCTTCCCATCATCTCAGAAATCCCATATTCGGGTTTCAATTCCGATGACTCTGAGGACGAAGCAGCGTCCAAAGCTCCATCCATACCTGACACTTCAGCTCATGACCTCAGCCGAACTACCACACTCCCTTCGTCCACCACCAATCCAACTCCACCAGACACTTCCACGTCAGTAACTCTCACGCCAAATCCCACCATCCATATTCCACAACCATCAGAAACTTCTCGACCTCCCAGTGAGACATTCTTTCATCCATGGTCTGGCAATGATGACCAAGAGCTGATCAACCTCAAGAATGACACCAAATCCCGTCCTTCGTGGAAGACGATTGGAGCCCGACTTCGTCGTGATCCCCATGTATGCAAGCTGAGATGGGGATTTTTGAAAAATACGGACCAAAAAGGTCGCGTTCATCCGTTGCACGAACCAGAAGCGGAGGACTAACTGACAGCGACAGGCCAAAAAACAGGTTGTGCTTGCTTATCCAGTGTTGCGTTTTGCAAGTTTCTCGTCGGTTTGTAATGTTCCCCTGTGTTGTTTTCCTAGGTTTCTTCCTTTCCCTTCCTTTCCTCCTGGTGTACTTTCCTTTCTTATTTGGACTCTTCTTCAATTGTCAATGTATCTTAGTCATTATGGCTCACTCATCTGATTACGTACGTATCCATCCTGATCGATCCCGGTCTCGCGACGACCCACCCATGTGGAGACACTCCAACGACTCTCGCTCATGGAGCAACCACTACAGGAATACCAGACGACCCGTTCCACCAGCACGTGACACACGCCGAGTACTGATCATTGTCAACTTGGATCAGGTATGCCCTGTTCTCACCGAATTGGGACATGACCAAATGGCTATGTCAACCTGCAGTGAACTGCCTGGCCTTAACCGTATGGAGGAAATGGCTCTGTTCACCTACCATGTCCTCATTGATCCAATACGTATTCGCTCCCTGACGGTGGAAACCATGCTCTACTACATCAGCCAGCACATCCACTACACATGGGATTGTTTTGTCGAACACACGAATCTAGATCTTCGTTGGCAAGACATCACCGGAGATACCTTCGCTTTGCCAAATGAGTGCCTCCTCTACGACCTCCTGAATGAACATCGTCCACGCTGGACTGAGGGGCAGGAACTGGGCATTCTTTTTTCCAATGATCTTCGCCCATTTGTACATCAGAATCAACCACACATCATGCGGCTGAGTTGCCACAAAGCACTCCCTAATCGCAACATGCTCCCGTGATTCGATAAAATGGATCTCATTGCCGCTGCATTTGTTGTTTCGGTCGGTTCCTTTTTCCTTTCCTTTCTTTTCCGGTTCCTTTCCTTTCTTTTCGGTTCTTTTCTTCTCCCTTTCTTTTCTTTTCTCCAGCCTTCTCGCTGCTATTGACACCACCGCTTCTACTTTTGTCTTAAGCATTCATCATGACTAAACGCGACTCCGCATACGCCGGCATTGTTTCTCTTCGCGGACCAATGAGCCTCTATCGTCGCCAATCCCCTGCTTCTGTGACACCCAGCCGCGCTTCGGCCTCTTCTGATCGCCATTCATCCAATGATCCAGGTCAGTCCTCCTGGTTTTCCAACCCGCACCAATCTGGACCCACCGCTTCCGGTGACGCTTCATCAAGTGTTCCGCACTTCGGATATACTTCAGATGTCCCTCAGATCCCACTGCCTTCTGACTCCCAGTGGAACCCCCAAGGGGTAGCCTTTCCGGTGCAATCGGAAAGCCAGAAACGTAATCAAGTATCACACTCACATCTTCAAGAAGATCATCTCGCCTGCTGGATCAAACACACCAGACCGCCTGGTGGTGACGGAAGTCGATAGTCAAGGAGAAGAAAGGCCTCGACAGCCCGAATACTTCTTCAATGGAATTGTTGGTCATGTCAGAGCAGCCAATGGAAGCTATATCGACAGCTGGCAACAAGCTACTCGCCTTGCCAACTATTGGCGTCGTTACTACGGCATCCCAGAGCCGGAGGAAAACTACCAGCAGTGGCACCAGCAGTGGCAATCGTCTGACCATGCTGATCAGACATCTGAACGCCAAGACTCCTACCAGGAATCCGAGATGGATGACAACACATCCAACGCGGCAAATGGCGGGGTCTTACCGGTTCCAAGTCAGATCCACCAATTGGCAAGCATCTTGTATGATATCCTGAGCAATGACAGAGAAGGCAATGCTGCGATCCTTGAGAAGATTGAAACGGACCATTCTGACTTGGCAACCGACCCATGTCAGATCTTCACGGCGGACGACTTGGCCCACCTTGCCAGCCATTTGGCAACAACGACTCAGACTTTGTCGGAACATGCCCTGAGAATGCAAATGGAAGCCCTGTCGGACATCGACGACTGAGTTCAGGAAAGGAAACTGAACCTGCGGGCTAATTCATCTTTTCATTTCCCTGTATTTTGAAGCCATTACAATTTCCTGCTTCAGGGAACAGATAATAGCCTTTCACCGATGGTGATTCTCTGAAAAAAGCCTCGCGGCAGCGAGGCGTGTTTGTGGAACATCTGAATAGATGTAAAACCTCTACTTGATGTTTTGGTTTTTCACTGCGTGTTAGACTTGATTTTTTCACGTCATGATTTTTTCACGTCATGATTTAGAGCAGGGGGACTGGAGCCGATTTGCCTATCCAGTCCAACGAAGCTATGGCATTTCGGTGGATGAGTGGTCTGATCAACCACTTGTACCTGCAGATCTTGGCATGGATGTCGTGGACATAGATTGCAAGATCACTTTAACAACCTCATTTTTTTCGCTGATGGCATCCGGCTAAGCCCAGAACCGGTCAGTTGATTCAATTTACAATTTGCTGAGCTGCATCAGAACGAGTTGACTTATCTTGCCCGGACATTGCAAGTTTTTCTTCACACAGGCTCTCACGCCTGGTCAACCAATTTTTCCTGTCAGGTTTAACTGGAGTGTTTTTTGCACGTACGATGCATTCCACATCAGTAATTCGATAAGATGCTGAGCAAGTGTGTGAAAACCATCTGAAGAGATGTAAAACTTCTAATTTGGGATTCATTTGCAGGGGGACCATCCATGTACTGTGTGCGATGGTCCAACGACGCGGCCACAGTACATGCGGATATCACGGCTGATCACCGTGACGTACCTGCTTCAATGTTCATATCAAGTTTCCTTGATGGGATGTGGCTAACCCAAGAACCACCGTGCCGTTTTCAAACAACTTGATTTCACTTTTTGCACTCTCCGCACAATTTTCGCAATCTGTCAGCTTTCTACTGTTTTTCGGGTCCTCTCAGCGACCTACTCCTGTCAGGTTTTAAAGGATTGTTTTACGAAAGCCAGCTGTCACACAAGGCGAAGTTGCTCATTGCGAACGATGTGAGAATAGGGGGTCTGGGGGGAGTGGCGCAAAACATGGACAATTTTGAGGCAATTATGCACCTAATAGGGGTGGCGTCGATTTTGAGGCTGATGTACTAGGTGGCAATTGGGTGACGGTGGGGTATCGATTCCTCCCAGGCGCGCGTCTGTGGGGGTGTAAAGGTGGTTTCAAATTTAGTTAATACATAGACTAGATAGATAAGTGAATCAAATAGTAAGTGAATAAATAGTGATAAATAGATAAATAAATAAACGAATAAATATATATATATATGCTACTCCCTCCCCAGGCCCAAACCTATGTTTTTTTGAAATTTGTGTGCAGGAGCCTTGAGAATGTGCATGCAGGTCTTCAAAGCAGAGGGCAGATGCATTCATATTTCATGAAACACAACAAATTGTTGACATTGGTAGAGTGTGGAGTTTTGAAACTGACCTCACCCCCCAAGATCCACATTTCACAGTTTTTTTTGTGTGAAGTGCTTACACACTCTCCATGTTAATGTATCATGATGTGTTCTTTGATATGCAGGGGTGTAAGAGACCAGGGGGATGGCTGGAGGAAGGAGGCATAGGTTTTGGCGTATATACTAAATTTATCTATATTTGAGTTTTCCATACTGTGTAATCGGTCATTTATTCAATTTGGTTTTTGTTGTTATTCAATTTGGTTTTTGTTGTCATTTATTCAATTTTGATCAAACATATTTAATATACACTTAATATACCTTTACTATAGCTTCAATATACCTTTAATATATCATTCTATTGACTATGAAAATATCTTTAATATACCATTAATATGTCTTTGAAGTACAATGCCACAAATACAAATAGTAGGTATGTTCCTCTTGCGCATAGTTGCACCAACATGTAAGAACAGCGTGGACACTGATGGTGACTCTGTGAATTTCAAAGGCCCACCCACCTAGAGAGCTGCAAGCTGTCCGTGCAGAAGTGGAGGACTTTGGGATTGTAGAACAGAAATATTTGCAGACAAGGAAGATGATGAACGCAGAGGAGTATGGCCATTATCCTGAGAAATACTGTTTTTTAGTCAACCAACAAGGATGAACATTTACTCGACATTCGTATTTCTAATATATTGTGTCCTGATTGAAAGCTGCTTTCTCACAGATCTTCCAAGCCATGGATAATGTATATAAATCGATATAAATACATATGACATGTTGTATATACATGTTATAGCGTCATATCTTTTATAGTCCCATTTAATCTGAAGAATCTTGGACCGAAGGCAAAGTCTTGTACACAAAAAAAAGGAAAGAAAGCAGTACCTGTCCATCTATTCGGCATGAACAGTAGATTTCACGCTTTGAATAGTTTCATCTCCAAAGAAGGAAGATTGGCAGAGAAACACGCCGGTATAGGTTGGGAACGTCGCTGGGAGTGCAGCTTCCATATTCTTGTGCGTATGGAGGACTTGAAGGCACAAGTGAATGCCTTGGAACGTAGCGCTAGAGCCGACGACTTGGAGCAGGTGTGGATGCGTCCGTGGGAGCAAGGATGACAGCTTTGCAGTCTTGTTCCAATGGCCAGGTGGCTGCGCAACTTCGCAAGCGCGTGGCGGAACTGCAGGAGGAAGAGGCCCATCAGCGCATTCTGAGTCCCGATGAAGGTCTCAATAGATCTCGATAGTATGTTTATCTGAGCAGCGATGATCCCGGGAGCTGCCACTTCCAACCAGACAGGCTTACCAGGCATCCATCCAAGCAAGGAAGACTTATGCAAAAGGAAGGGTCTAACACAATATCTATATTGATTTATTACGCCCACATATATGTATATGTAGATGTATATGTATATGTAGACGTAGATGTAGATGTATATGTAGATGTATCTGTATATGTACATTTGCAGTAAATGCATGTGTATGTGTATATGTATATATGCAGTATATGTATGTGTATGTGTATGTGTATGTGTATGTGTATGTGTATGTGTATGTGCATATGTATGTGCATATGTATGTGCATATGTATATGTATATGTGCGTGTATATGTTTATGTGTATGTACACATATGTATTTGTATATGTATTTGTACGTGTATATGTTTATGTGTATGTACACATATATGTATTTGTAAATGTATGTGCATCATATGTATCATATGTATCATATGCCTCATATGTATCATATGTATCATATGTATCATGTGCATCATATGTATCATATGTATCATATGCCTCATATGTATCATATGTATCATATGTATCATATGCATCATATGTATCATATGTATCATATGTATCATATGCATCATATGTATCATATGTAAATGTACAATGTGTATAGGTGTAATCTGTATATGTATATGTACATGTACATTTACAAGTAGATGTAAGTGCATATGTATTTGGATATGTGTGTGTGTATTTGTTTTTGTATATGTATTCGTGGACATACACACATACCATACCATACCATACCACACCGCACCACACCATACATACCATACATACCATACATACCATACATACCATACATACCATACATACCATACATACCATACATACCATACATTACATTACATTACAGTACAGTACAGTACATTACATTACATTACATTACATACATACAATTACATACCATTACATACCATTACATACCATTACATACCATTACATACCATTACATGCCATTACATACCATTACATACCATTACATACCATTACATACCATTACATACCACTACATACCATTACATACCATTACATACCATTACATACCATTACATACCATTACATACCATTACATACCATTACATACATTACATTACATTACCTTACATTACCTTACATTACATACATACACACATACATAACATACATAGCATACAAAACATACATAACATACATAACATACATAACATACATACATATACATACATTTACATACATATACATACAAAACATACATAACATACGCAACATACGCAACATACATAAAGTACAAAACATACACAACATACAAAACATACATAAAATACACAAGATACACAACATACATAACATACATAAAATGCAAAACATACAAAACATACATAATATACAAAACATACCACATAATAAAATGACATGACATGACATGACATAACATTACGTAACATTACATTAATATATGTGTATGTATGTATGTATGTATGCATGCATGCATGGATGCATGCATGCATGTATATGTGTGTGTGTCTGTATGTATGTATGTATGTATGTGTGTGTGCATATGTATGTATGTATGTATGTATGTATGTATGTATGTATGTATGTATGTATGTATGTATGTATGTATGTATGTATGTTGGTATGTATGTATGTATGTATGTATGTATGTATGTATGGTATGTATGGTATGTATGGTATGTATGGTATGTATGGTATGTATGGTATGTATGGTATGTATGGTATGTATGGTATGTATGGTATATATGGTATGTATGGTATGTATGGTATGTATGGTATGTATGGTATGTATGGTATGTATGGTATGTACGGTATGTATGGTATGTATGGTATGTATGGTATGTATGGTATGTATGGTATGTATGGTATGTATGGTATGTATGGTATGTATGGTATGTATGTATGCTATGTATGTACTGTAATGTAATGTAATGTACTGTACTGTACTGTAATGTAATGTAATGTAATGTAATGTATGTATCTATGTATGTATGTATATATGTATATGTATGTTCATGTATGTTTATGTATGTAAATGTATGTTTATGTATGTATATGTATGTATATGTATGTAAATGTATGCAAATGTATGTATATGTATGTATATGTATGTATATGTACATGTATGTATCTATGTATATGTATGTTCATGTATGTTTATGTATGTATATGTATGTTTATGTATGTATATGTATGTATATGTATGTAAATGTATGTAAATGTATGTAAATGTATGTGTATGTATGTGTATGTATGTGTATGTATGTGTATGTACGTGTATGTATGTGCATGTATGTGCATGTATGTGCATGTATGTGCATGCATGCATGCATGCATGTGTGTAATTATGTATGTATGTATGTATGTTTGTATGTATCTATCACATGTATATACATATATATATATATATATATAAACAGGAAGTAGATACATAGCACATGTATATATATATATAACTATAGGTAGCACGTTGGTACTTTGAGGGAGTATGTGTGCTACGTAGGTCGTCTAAAATGGAGCATGTACCTAGTAAATGCGAGGCTGGTATGTAGTCAGAATCGCTGCAAAAACCTAGCAAATAGGAGGCTGGACCTCAGAAATGCTGCCAATTGCTTGCAAATAGAAGGGAGGTGGGTGCTACCTGGGGACCCATACCATTGGGGGGGTAGGAACACGGAACACGAGACCATGTATATATATATACATACATATGCACATACATATGCACATACATACGCACATACATACATACATACATAAATACATACAGACACACACACACATGCATGCATGCATGCATGCATGCATGCATGCATGCATACATACATACACACACACATACATACATACATACACAGGCTAAGTTATCTTTTCTGGATCGTACTTTGGTGCGGCTGTGTTGCTTATTGAAGGCACGTTCTGCCGCCTTGCGAGAGGAATGCCGTCCTAGCCTCAGCATCCGTTACTGGACAGTGCGGGCATATGCCACTGTTGGCCATGACAGTTATGAAGGGGGGGCCTTTGGCAACACTTTTGGGTGTCAGGAGAGCTCCGATTGCAAATAGCAGAGCTGGTCGGACAAACCTTGCCCAGCGAAGGCAGGATTGAATGGGTTGCAGAGCAATCGCTTGATGCCTTGCTTGAGTACCTGCGCCTTCTTTCCTTCTTTGTCTCCGTGAGTGATTTTTTTCAGTGTCTTCATTGCACTGTTTTTCTTCTTGCTCATTGTGTGTCTGAACGGAACCCAAGGGAGGTCAGATTTTGGAACTTGGAATGACTTGCAATCTTAACAGTCCAGTTTTTTTGCACCGAAACACGAGGCCCTCAGCAATGTCTTGAACTTCGCGAGCGACTGAAAAAACTGCAGGCCAAACAGTGGCTAAGGGATGGGACGTGTAGCTGGAATCTGTGAGAATCTGGGAGAAGGTTCTTATATAGGCAATCTGTGTAGCTCGTCAAGAGGAGGTTCTTATATTGCAAGAGTTTGAGGAGCTGTTGCGGGTTCAAAGGTTTTGAATTCACCTCAGAGCCTCTAATTGACTTCTTCGATGCGATCCTATGTTGCCACGATGATTTTTTTGCAACGACTCAAAGATGTTGCCGAACCCATTTGCAGGAGATGACACAATCAACACATTCTCATCAACGGCTGCAAGATGAGTTGACTGTCAAAGATGTTTGAAGATGTTTGATGTGTTTTAATCACGTGGCGGACAATGACGCCGTCATTTGTATAGGCCGTATAGGCCTGGTGGCCGCCCACACGGGAGGTTTTTGAAAGAAATCTCCAAATTCAATCAGTAGTGAGAGAAGACCCAAAGTGTCTTTGTAGGTGTACAAAGCGTTGGAGGCTCGAAGTTTGCAGCATTCCTGCGCCAAGAGATGACAAACTGCTACAAAAAATCCGGCACCAACCACTCTCTGTGGTACCAACCAACCCCGATAAAGATTGGAAATGCACGAAACATAATTCTCTGGAAATATATAGTCGATGACTCAATGAAATAAATAGATAACAATATGCAATATAATATGTATATTGATTGGTCTGGCACACAAGCATATATATCCTCCACTGGTGCTCCAAAATGAATCATGGGCGTCAGGGTCCACTAGTGACCTTCCCGACTCTGTTTTCTATTTTGATCTGGTTCTGGAGCCTTGGATAACCTTGGGTACGGGGGCCTTGACTTAAGTCCCATCTTCGTGTTGAAGTCGCATCTTGATTGGTGCCCACCACACATTTTTCCTTCATATCCTGTGATTTTGGTACTAACTCATACATTGTTGCTGTTTTACCAGCGGGCCAGCTCGCTTTTTCCATCGACCACCTAGTTCCATGGTTGACATGTTTTTTGTCAGTGTTGTGTTTTTTCACTAGGTAGCTGGCAAGCTACAGGGGTTGGGCGCTTGGTGGTGAAGTTTCAGACTCTGTCTCAAACAGAGTGCTGTCCAGGGTGCCTAGGGTGCTGGCCACAGCGGCGCAAGACATGTTGTAAAACAAACATGCACCTGAAGCAAACTGGACCAGCAAACACCATACGTCCCCGCTCGCACAACATCACAATACATTCCCCAAAAAGCGTTCCAGTGGGCCAAGGCTATTCAAACGGGTTCCTGATTTACAGGTGCTGAAATTCAAGTGTCGTGGCGGTTCATGCCGGGTTCCACATTTTACAGAGGCACCTTCACCCTCCCAGCTCCAGACCACAGCGGCGCAAAGCGTGTTGCAAAACAAACATGTCAGCCAATTTA